GTAAAGAATTTGGCTGGGAAATTGCTAACTACTGAACTCGAATAGCTAGGTCATTTTCAGTGAACGACCAGTAGCCCCCGGGAATCATTCATTTTCCTTCATGCAAATTCTGCGGCAGTGAATGTACAAGTTAAATGTAAAGCAGTGATCATTCATATAGTTGATGGCCAGACTGTTTAGCTGTAGCGCAAAGCGCATGTTCGAACCAGCAGGTCTGTTGCGTTGCTGCAGAGGTTTTTAATAAAAATCTCTTTAAAATTAGGGTTATTCGATGGTTTCGCTTGAGTGTGCTGGGAAGGTGCTGCTCTTCTGTGCTTCTTCTCAATATAAAAATTGTCGATGAGTTGCCCTCTCGTAGCATTACTTGTTTTTATGCGTTTTGTCCTATGTAACAACAGTACAAAACGCATATTGTCACGGGGTTGTCTCTGTGTGTGTGTGTGTTCCACATTTTTTCCCGCACTTTCAACTTAGGAACCACAGAAGCTAGGCGGCTGCAATTTTGGTATAGTGTTCCCCGCCAATGGGTGACGCGGCAAATTTAAATTCAGCCTTCCCGTATCCGCGGATAACACGTACGGCACCGTAAAATTTTTTCGGGTAAAATCAGTATCTCGGGGAATACGGAAGCTAGAAGGCTGAAATTTTGTGGGCATGTCCCCTGCCCACACATGGCCCAGAAAATTTAAATTCAGCTTTCTCCTGCCCGCGGGTAACACGGACGGCCTCGTGAAAATTTTTTCGGGTAAATTATCTCGGGAACCGCGGAATCTACGAGGCTGAAATTTTAGGGTAATGACCCTCTGCTCACGCATGTCCTTGCCTATTCAAATTCAGCATTCCCGTGCTCTTGGGTATCACCTACGGCCTCGTGAAAATTTTTTCGGGTAAATTATTATTTCGGGAATCACGGAATCTACGAAACTGTAATTTAAGGGTAATGATCTCCTGCCCATGCTCGACCTTGCACATTCAAATTTAGCGTTCCCAAGCTCATGGGTATTATCTATGGCCCCATGAAAGTTTTGGCGAGTAAATTATTATCTCGGGAACCACAGAAGCTAGGAAGCTGAAATTTTATGAGTATGTTCCTTACCCACGTGTGACTTAGGAAGTTTAAATCCAGCCTTTCTGCGCTTTCGGGTGTTACCTATGGCCTCGTGAAAATTTTTGCGGGTAAATTATTATCTCGGGAACTACGGAATCTAGGAAGCTGAAATTTTAGAGTAATGACCCTCTGCCCAAGTATGACCTCGCAAATTCAAATTCAACATTCCTACTCTCTCGCGTGTCACCTACGGCTCCGTGAAAATTATGACAGGAAATTATTATCTCGGAAATCATAAAAGCCAGGAAGCTAAAATTTTATGGTGATCTCTTTTGTTCACGTACAGTCCTGCAATTTTAAATTCAGCTTCCCGCGCGTCCGAGTATCATTTACAGCTCCGTGAAAGTTTTGGTGGGGAAAGTAATTATCTCCGGGATCGCGGAAGTTGGGGATCTGAAATTTTAAGGTGATCTCCTCTACAAAAGTACGACTTCGGAAGTTTGAATTCAGCCTCCACGCACTCCTGGGTATCACATACAGCCCCGTGAAAGTTTTGATAGAGGAATTATTATCTTGTGTGCGTGAAATTTCTGGTAGGAAGTTCCGCAACTTAAAAATCAGACAACATTTCAACTGATTTTGTACAGACCAGAGTGCAAAGCAATGAAAATCTTTAGCAGGCTGTCGTTCGGTGAACGGAATTGTACAGAACGCATGATCGCACCGGTTGCTCTGGTGCGCGCCGCTATTTATTTTATCTCCATGCCGAGTTAATCTGTTTTGTAAATTTTAGGGAAATAGATACAACGCAGTAGTACCAGATGAAAGCAGCAAGCAGCTGCAGAGAGATGTGAAAAAAGTGGAGGAGTCGTTTAACGATGCAATAAAAGTGAGGAATGGCTTCAAGAGGAGAGCAGTCCGAATCCAGTAAATTTGGCTGAATTTACTCAAGAGCATCTCCCTCATTGTTCCATTGAATGGTTATGCTTATGAGCGATAGTTGTAACGTTTCACT